AGAATCCATTGTCACACGAAATTAAACACTCTAAGATTGTCAGGGAAACAATATGGAGAAAACGGATTGAAGGCGTGATTTTGATCACTCTCCTTAGAGTGTTTATTTGCCCCCACTACTCAGTTGCTGTAGGATTTAGGCAAACCACCCCCAGGAGTCCCTCCAATCAAAGTCAGAAAGCAGCACCTTTCGTGACTTCTGTGTTTGTGTTTTTGGAGAAGGAAAAAAAACGAGGAGAAGAAGATGAACGTTAAACGAGAACATTGGCTGCAGAAGACTTTTTATAGTGAAAACGGCAGTTCCCTTCCGAAGGGTTACGTCGTTTCACAAAAGTCAAAATCAAATAATTTTCCGGATTAATTAGCCAAAAATTTAAATCTGAACGCGTCGCGCTAAGTGCTAAGTGCGTAGTGCAATTTAATATGTCAAATTAAATAGCCCACACTTTTTCCAAAAGCCCACTAACCACTTTATCCAATAACTAAAGTAGAAAGCAAACTTAAAAACAACTTGCACTTTCCTTCTCCCACCAATGTGGTATTTCCTTTACTATTTGACTACTCTAACACACAATAGGGAAGAGATTGAGTTCCATGCAGGAGAGCAACTGATCTGTTTGTTTGGGCAAATTTCAATTTCTATGTTGTTCGATCAATCCAGAGGGAAAGGGGGGAGTGGAAGAGATAAAAGGGATGGGTGATCTATCCCTTCTATTTGTTTCGGGAGCATATACGGGTTAAGGGATAGGAAAATAAAAAGTTAATAATAAATTATTATTTTAGTCACCACTTACCATAACCATATTATCTCTCACCTCCTTGGAGAAAACGATATTACTTTTGTCATCTTGTATATTTTATTTTTGTATATTTTTTGAGAATAATAATATATTGAATAATTAATATAATATAATATTAGCGTACTTTTCACCTCTCAATATTGAATTCTTGCAAAATAAACGCTCTCACGCTCCCGCTTTCGCTCCCGCTTCACGAACTGGTTACCTAACCAAGAACTCTACTGAGTCTTACCATAATGTGGTTCTCAGTTGATCCACGATTAGACCAAGTATATTGGGGACCACCAAAACCCATATCATGTAATCCTGCCTGAGAGCAGAAGTCTCTCAACTGGTCAAGGGCTTGAAAGCAGGGCTTCTACCCCCTGTCTTTTCTGACGAATGGAGAATACAATTGAAATCCCCAAGTACAAAGATGGGTTGGGAAAAAGCCAGGGCTAAGTTGGAAATGTCATCCAATTGAGACTGTCTGGTTCTTATATCACAACTAAGATGAACAAAAATAAAGAAAGCGATCCCCAACTCAGAATGGTGACATTCAACATGAAAGAAATGTCGATCTCTATCAAGAACAATACATTGGACCTCTGGTTTCCAAGCTACCGCTAGTCCACCTGATTATCCTATGGCGCTAACTAACTGGACCTCCTTAAAACCAATTTGTTGAATTGTCTTTTTAACCTCATCATCCTTATTTTTTGTTTCACTAAGAAAAAACAAAAATGGTGTAAATCGGTTAACTACCTCTTTCAATGATCTCGTTGTAAGGATGGACCCGATACCACTACAATTCCAACAAAATGTACCCATAATGTAATTGTGTGGTAAATTAGCAAAGTTTTCTCAAATTAACGAATCCTAATCACTTAAAGTGCATCCAAATTCAATGCCCAGTATAAAAGGATTATGTTCCAACTCTTGTTTGAAGCCTTGAGCAAAGGTCTCCTCATAATCTATATCATACTCTTGTTTGAAGTCTTGAGCAACCGTACGAGCTTAAAACCTTCAACTGATCCATTTGGGTGCATTTTCACATTATAACGAATACAATTAAGGACATATCTTCTTCCCGCGACACTAGATCCGAAGTACGGTTTTCCTCCACAACATTCGTCTCCACACGCATAGCAACGTTCCACCTAGGACCACGTGCAGTCTCAGCATAGCTGTGCAGAATGAAAATGGGTTCAGCTGAAAGGTGGCTGCCGCAAGGTTGCTCGTGTTGAGCGACGTAAGGGAACCACCTGTTGAACAGGAGAGGGAGACCATCACTTGGAGGTAGATGACCCATTCTTCGAAGACCTAGAAGATGAGGAAGCAGACGTCCGAAGTAGTAGATGACTTAGAGGACGAGGAAGGCGAAGAAACATGCGGCAAGCTAGAGGACGCTTCGGATGAAGCCAAGGAAGCTGAAGTTGCCGATGAGGAAGTCTCGTCACTGTTGCTCGACACGATGGGGTTCCTAGCAGGCGGGAAGTGGAGCGGACTCGAAAAATGACCAATGGGTTAAGAACTCAAGAGCTTCGGCTGTACTAGCTTCTGCATGAAAATAGTGATAATACATATCTCGTTCCATGAACTTGACATGATAGGCGATCCTCATACGACGAGCAACTGGATCATAACACATGTATCCCTTGTGTTTTCACTAAGGTAACCATAGCGAGAGCGGGAACGTCAGAGCGTAAGTATTTGAAGAATACAATATTGAGAGCGTGAATAGAGCGTTAATATATTATGATTTTAATAAATAAGCATGATATTTTTTAATTATTAAATAAAATATGAGGAATACTATTACTATTTAATCCGACAAATTATTCGCATACAAATACTATTAGTTCTGTTACCAATTGAATTGCACTCTATGCAGAACAAATAGTCAAATATCAATATAATTAATAAATAATATATATCTACTTAAATTATAATAATAAAAAGCAGCAATTCATTTTCACTAAAAGAACAAATGTCTCTCTCTCCTCACATTACCTCCTACTGTACGCACCAACCCACCCTCTTCTTGTTTTTCCGCTCTCTCTTCTCTCTAATCCCTTCCTTCCTCCTTTTTCTCCACCCAAACTCAAGAACTTCTTAATAAAAGCAATTGAACATCCCTTTGATCCAAGCAAGCAGTCAATGACAGGAAGGGAATAGATTTTAGAAACTCTATCTAATGATGCTGCCAAGAAGCCCTCTTTGCTCACGTTCGTTCATTTTCTCCGATTGGAGCTCTCCATCCAAGTGTGGTATCTGCTATCTAGAAACGCAGAAACACTAATGGCTCTCCAACGGCTCCTGATTCGACCAAAAGCAACAAATCCAAGGTAGCACTCCCCCACTGCTGACATTGGTGTTGCTGCATGCATCTCTAGCTAATGAAATGGATAAATGTCCCAGATTTCTGTATCCCTTTGCTCTTAATTTCATCTTTAGAAACTTGGCCTAAGACTTAACCCAAGAGCTGCACAGAGTTGTGCTTCTGACAAATAGGCTCGGAAGGGAATTCAAGTGGACAAACGGAAAGAAGAGGATGAAGATATATATTAGATTTCTGAGTTCGAAAAGAGATGCGCTCCCAAAAATTCCAAGCGAATTTTGGACGGACTCCCAAAAATTTGCGTTTTGGCGTTCTTGAGCGGGATTGTGCAGGGCGGAGTGGAGAATTGGGTGACCTAAGTTTTCACTATAACCTAAAAACACACAACAAACTACCTTTGGAGCTAACTTATGACATTCCTTCTTTTGCAATAGAACAAAACACGTACACCCAAACAAACGTAGGAAGGAATAATCAGGAAGCTTCGAATATAAAATTTGATACTGAAAATTTTGACCCAATAGAGGAGTGATTTGACAATTAATGAGATAGACGATTGTATCTAGCGCTTCGACCCAAAAAATGTAGGTACACGAGAGAAAAAAAGGATACCTCGCGTGAGCTCCAACACATGGCGGTTCTTACGTTCCACTACTTCGTTTTGCTGAGACACCCCAGGGCAGGACTGTTGTGGTAGAATGACCTCTGTCTTAAAGACAACAATGAACTCGTTTGATGTGAACTCTCCTCCAGGATCTAAACATAGTACATTAATTGTTTTACCAAACTGTGTCTTCACCAGCTCGATAAACTCCTTAGCCACTGATGTTAGTTCTAACTTATGCTTAAGAAAATACACCTAGGTGAAGCAAGAGTGATGACCAATAAAAATAGCAAAATACCAGAAACCCATCCTCGCAGTAACTGGTAACTGTCCCCAAAAATCCATATGAACCAAATCAAAGGTTTCATCATAAACTATCTCATTAAGCGCAGAAGAATGTTGATAGGCTTTGGCCTCCAAACAGCTCACACATTCAGTCCTCAGATATCTCATTGAACCTCAATAAATCCAATTTATCAGGTAATAAATTTTTCTTAAACATAGCCTTCAATCGATCCAAGTAAAGGTGACCCGAACGATTATGTCAGAAATCCTACAAATACAAAGAATTGCCAACTAAAGCATACGAACCAGAAACAGTACGCAGAACATTGCTATCATCACTGCATGTACTCGACTGCCACGTCCCTCCTGTCCGAGATGAGAATCCTAAACCACGTGACCACTACATCCTAAAACCGCACCTACTGCCATGATGCATTCGTCACGTCCTTCCTGTGGAACTCCTCCAACAAGAAAGTTATGTTCCACCTTTCTTGCCTTCTCGATCACCCCCCGTCAATCAATCCTGCACAACACAATCAATTGAATCAAACATGATATCACAACCACCATCCGTCACTTGACCCACGGAACTAAGTTTGGAAGTACCTAAGGAACATAGAGCATATGGAGAAGGGAGTAGAGGCAGTGCTAGCTAAACCCAAACTCTGTACTGGTATTGTGGCTCCATTAGCCACTTGAAGATGCATAGACGGGACATGATGCAAGTTCATGAAGACAGGTCGATGATAAGACATGTGATTAAACGCTGCAGAATTAACCAACCATCGAAGTGACTTACCAGAGTGTGTACCAATCACAGAAGTAGAAGAGAGTGCCTCACAAAGAGCTTCCTGAACCATATGGCGAACCTGATTAGGAGTGAGAGTAGGGGCCGAGGAAGAGGACCCCTCTGAACTGCCCAAAGTCACATGATACGCGGCAGCGACATGAGAAGACAAACCACCAGTAGGAGTGGGGCGAAACTTACCCCGCCGACTTAGAGTAGGGCACTCAGAAACTATATGTCCCGTAAGTTTACAATAATTGCAGTCTTCTTGCAGCAATAAATCTGCACATGTCCGGGTTCACAACAGAAGTGAGAAATGATCCAACTCGGAGTCGAAGAAGCATCGGCCAACCACAAACGCAGCCTTCCCATGGGAGTTCATACCATCAATCTGGGACCAACTCTTTAGACGAGTCTCCTCGCATTAGCTCAGCCACAACGTCATCAATGCGGGTAATATTATGATGAATTAAAGATGGTCGGATGGGTTCAAATCCGTCCAAAACTTGGCTAAAAAATAGAGCACACGGGTACGCGTACGCTTAGCAAGGACGACCTACGAAGCAACAGCTGGGACAAGGGAGGCAGTGAGAAGATCATACTCCATCCATAAGTGAAGAGCAGACTGATAGTAGCACCGGACGTCACGATCGCATTAAGTAAGGTGAGAAATCTTGCCCTCCAAATTAAACTGGCTAGAGGTAGTATTTTGAGAGTTAGTAGTGTGGAGATGAGTCCACATCTCGTGAGCAGTACCAAAGTTTCGACCATAAAACTTAATCGAAAAATCTGTAATACCTTAGGAGGACAATAACAAACTCGGCACCAAGAAACCTTTCCGAACCAAAAAGTGTCACCCACCAATAGACAAAACCCTCACAACAACAATGCACCAAAAATAATTCCAACAACTACACAATCCAAGGAATGGAAGGAGAGAGCGGGGAACAAACCATAACTTGAGCACCCCCGCCACCAAACTGCCAAGAGCTGTACACAAATCTTTAGAGCAGAGGCTCTGATACCATGTTAGACTCTTCAAAGTTTTCACTATATCAAAATTAAGCTATAGAGAGATAGATTTGCAGCTCTATATATATATGGGTACTAATGGGAGTCACAGGTGGCTAATTACATATTGGTACTTCAACAATATAAATTAACATCACCTTGATTGGGGTCATAGCCCTCTGCACCTTGCTCTTCTGAGAAGACGGTGGTCTTAGCTTAGATTAGTTTTCGACCAATCATCAATTTTTCATACTGGTTCGAACATTTCGCAAAACCCAGAGGTTTTTTATGGATAATTAAGTTCCATGATTGGATACCTAAGATGACTTGTTAGGTCTGATAGTCAGAGCTTTCGAAGCTTCTGAAATTGAAATATTTTGTTTTTTATTTGCTCAAAGATTACCCCTGCTTTTACCGATCAATCACAGGGAATAAGGTGGAAGGGCCATACACTACCTGTGTATTCTCTTGCTCCAGCTCCGCTTAAGTTCCGCAGGGTTGACGGAGGAGAAAAGGATTCACGAACAGGATGTCTGGAGAGGAGGAATATAAACGTAGGATTGTGGAGAGCAAAGTTGGTTGTAAGAGGGAGCACACTGTACCGTTGTCGATACTATGATGGGTTTAAATCTTGGGTAGCCAGTTTCTCGAATAAGGAAAGGATCCTCTCCAGGAAATCTCGTCGAAGAAAATTACGTCCAAGTCTCCTTTAATAAATTTTGACCATTCAAATCTAGATGAATGGATGGCTCTCAATCATTATTTTGTACAATAAAATTTTATACCATACCCTTATTATAATAATATAATGTTTTGAATAATTGTATACTTATAATCCTTTGTCCCACGGTCAAGGAGCAGATTCCATCAATAACCTATGGATCAATAAACATTCATAAACTTACTTTTCCCACATTAAGTTTTACGGGTTATATATCTTTCATTTTAACTTTTAAGTCATAATTTAATTTTGTGCACAAATAAATTATATTAATTATGCTCATCAAAATGACATCCACTTTAATATATTTTGGAACAAAAAAACAAAGAGATATTTATTACTGGTCCATATCATTGTGGTAATTTCTGGTAGTACATAAGATTATATTATGTGGTATGAAGTGTACCATGGTCGTATGAATATATATATACTATAGTGTAGAATGAGTATATATATACGTGATAGTAGGAATATACTGTTATTTATCACATTGCATCACCTTTTACCGCCCTATACTAGGGTGGTATATTTGGTCATCAAAATTTTTCTCCAGAAAATTTATAGATCCAATAGTTAACAAATAACTCATTCCTTATGGGCAAAAATTTTCAAAATGCAAGTGAAAAATGAAGGTGATGCCGAGTGGTACTAGGTGGTAGGTAGTACAAATAGAGTTGGAAGTTTGGTACCGGTATTTGGGATATACCGAATACCGTATCGAATTTTTCTATATTTGGTATTACCGAATACACGTATTATTTTTTGGGATAGGGATTGAGATTGAATTTCAATTGTTATTCTGTATTAGGGATTACAGAATTGGGATCGGTACATACCGAAATACCGATCAATACCGAAATATAAGCTGGTGTGTATTTTATTCTCTCAACTAGACTCTCTCATTCACTAACTACACAACCCTCAACCACCAAAAGTATCATTTAATTATACATAGATCATTCCATCACTATTAATAGTCGTCTGTCAACCTCCAATTCGTCAAATTAAAAATTACCAATGACAAGAACTTGAGATATGTCCTCTCCATTCTCCTTAATAATATCCTAATTCAAGACTCTTTGCTTAGTCTTTTTTCCCTAAATTAAACAATAAAATCTAATTTATATATTTAATTATTAGTTGTGAAGGTAATCATTTCGTATTTGATAATACCGATTGGGATACCGAAGGACCAATTGGGATACCGGTATATTTAGGGATTGAGATTGGGATACCGAAATTATTTAGGGATTAGGATTGTGATTGACTTTAGGGTGTAATTTGGTATTCAGGATTTTGGTATTTGGTATTGGGATACTGATTCCGTACCGATTTCCACCCCTAAGTACAAGGGTGGTAACGAGTGGTATGGGAAGTACGAAAAAATATTTCTTGTAATATATTGAAAGCAAATATCAAATTGTATTCGTAGATCATAACGAACTTGTTACATCTGTGCAAAATAAAATTAAATCCAAATAAAAAATAAAAATCATTTAGAAAAAATAAGAAAAATAAAAATTCCTTAGTTTCACCATTATATCTGACCGACTTAAAATAAAAAATCTAGATTTAATTATATAAGTGAGCACCATATCTAAGACATTCGCCCATGCCAACAAAAATAAACAATAGTCAATAGTGATGACTGATGACTGATGCCTTAAGGTAGCGCTTACAAATTTCCATTTGATCCTATGGTGGCGCCTAATTCCATTTTTTTTTCTTTCTTTATTGGAATAATAAATCTCCTACTCCTAGTCCATTGAAATTTAGTCAATTAGGCACGTGTGTTTGATAAGAATAAATGGGTAACTTGTTTTTTTACTTTCTAAAAAATGCCTCTACTTTCAAATTTCTAAGGTAGCGCTTACAAAAATGCCTACAAATTAATTAATTTAAAAATTCATTCTATAAAATAATTTTACTTTACACAACTTTATCTTTATAGACCAAAATTCATTCTATAAAATTATGTGCTTAATAATCATTTCTCACTTTTCATTACTACTTACTAATTACCATTAAACATACTTTCATTTTTAATATCCAATCTACTACAGATCTCACTTTTCATCCATTTTAATTTTTTTTTTTTAACTCTTACCAAACACACTTTCCTGAAACTTAAGAAAGAATTTCCTAATTTCCAATTTTTTTTCCAAATTTAAAAAAAGTAAAAAGAAACACGTACACCCAAGAGATGTATTGGATATCCAAGTTCATCTATTATGTCGATGTTTCTTACCAAAACTAAATTAAATTTTTTCAAAAAAAAAAAACTAAATTAAACCACACTTATATTAAATTTTAACCGGTAATACCATATTTGTTTTAACCCAAAATTTGATCTTTTAAACAAAAATTGATATAATCTACTGTCTCGTCTTACCATTGTGGTAGGGCTTGTCTTCCTATTACTCATAATTATTTGACTGAAAAAACTTTCCTCAAAATATGTCACATTGTATATTTATATATATAGCAATCAAAGCATTTCCTTTGTACAATTTTTTTAATTCAATTTAAAATGAATGAAATATGATCTACTAAAAATAAAATCATCATTTTTTGGAATTAGATATATCATTCCTCAGTTGCCTAGTTTATTAATATTATATTAGTAGTATAGCCTCAAGTTTGACAACTCACCAAACATAATATGTACCCTTTAATCACGTGGCGAAGATTTATCTCACGCTCACTTCCCCATTGCATCCCTTACCAAAGCGATAATGTAAACTAAAACCAATAGTCTCGATTCAAAGAGCAACTAGCTAGAGAGAGACAGAGATAAATATTATATTAAAAGAAATTGGTAGACTGAAAGCCACATGGTTTGTTACTTACGGCAACATGGACTAACTCAAGCAAAGGAAAACATAGACGAGATAGGAGAAAAGACGGCCGTCTTTAGTTGAACCAAACTTTGATCAGCCATCAGGATTGAGGAGGCCGCCAGCCAAAGAGAAAACTTCAACAAACCGACGGAGCTGAGCTCGTGCCCATTCCCAGCCTAACCCATCCAATTAAAATGAATGTTTCATACTAAATCCGTCTTTTTATCCCTTATATATCCAATTTTATCATAAATTTGTTTTTTTACCTTATAGTCAGATGTTTAGATTTTTTTTTTTTTTTTTTTGCATCCCCTGCAGCTAATTTCACTTTACGTCATTTTCCTCATATATTTAACAGTTTATGTACTACAATATGAAAGATTTACGTACGCATTACATATATATGTCATAAATTACAAATAAAATATTTCTGTATAATTCACCAAATTATCGATCACCTTCAATTTGCATTACACAAAAATTGAAAAGTGTGTACACTGTAAGAGATGAGAGAGAAAGTTGAGAGAGAGAGAGAGCGAGAGGGGGTGAGGGAGAGTGGGTGGGGGAGTGATCGAGTCTTATTACAGAGTAAGGATCGACTAGGTTTCTCTTTTAGATGTAGGGGTTGTTCGGTTGAATTAGAGGAAAATTGGTCTTTTTCGGATGCGGGATTCCGATTGGCAGTACGGTCAACAGGTATGGCGCATTTTATTTTTCTTGATGAAGCGTTGATCGATTGGCTCCAAGGAGTGTTGCAGGTGGCGCTGATGCGTGGATGGAATTTTTCGGGTAAAGATGTGAGACGAAGCGGATCTCGTGTGCTTCATGTTGGGGGCATGATTAAGAATGGAGAGCGTTTCCTTCGGTTGTCAGAATCTTGTAGGACAGGAAAAATGTTCTTTGTGTTGGTACCAATGGACGATCTTATATTGGGCTGGTCTTTGTTTCTTAAATCCATTCAGAGCTTGTCAAGATGTATTCTTCAGCGAAAGCGCCGTTCTACCGCCTCTGTTTCTCCCCCAAAAACTAATATCTCGAAGACATTGAACTCAACGACGGCGGGTTCGCGAACCTCTTTCGCTGATTTGTTCAAGTCGTTAGATTGGCCAAAGGGTGGAAGTTGTTCTGTGCAGACCCGTGAAGGCTCAAAGGTTGTGATGGTCTCAAACCAAGGGGTGAAGGGTCGGGAAGATTTTCTCAGGGCATCTTTGGTTCTGAGGTTGGTTGGGCGAGGTATTCCAATCTGGGAGGACTTTCGAATTTGGGTTCAGAAAAATTGGGGCGTTTCATATTCAAAGCTCCAACCCCTTAGCGATGGTCTTTGGCTAATGCCATGTTCGTCGCGGGCGGAAGTGGATCGGGTTATGGCTCTTAATCGATGGAAATATAAGGATTTTCAGATTTTGGCTGATTATTGGATCGAAAATGCAGGGAGATCAGGTGTTATTCGTTCTCTTGGAGAAGTCTGGGTGCGGATTGATGGAATCCCCCTTCATCTGCGATCCGATGAGCTGCTCGCACAACTTGGCAATTTTTGTGGAGAGGTCAGAGAAATTCAAGATCAGGGAGTCTCTCTGAATGAAGTCCGAATCCGTATTGTTCCCAACGAGGTGATACCAGATGAAATTCCCCTTTGCTATGAATCATTTGTTTTTCCGGTAAGAGTTGCGGTGGAACCAATAGGGCCACAACCGGCCATTGACTCCGGCGATCGCTTTCTTCATGGCTGGAAAGGAAAGGGGCGTGGGGTATACGTACGGAGGAGGAGAGTGGATGGGGTAGACATGACTTCAGATGGCCCACTTATTGAGAGTATCAGATCGAGGACTCAGACGATTGCGTGTGAAGGAGTGGATGCTATGTCTTGTCCGGTTAATTGCAGGGATAGACTATTTGAGGGGACGGATATCAATGGTGAGGGGTGGATGTGTTCTACAGCGGATTGTTTGGTTTCTAGTGCTGCTCCGAATGGTGGTGATTATTTGACAGGTGAGGAATTGAATGGTCAAGATAATAGGG